AGGCGTATGGCACTCGCAAGGAAATTTTTCCAACTTAGTTCATCCTGGTTTCTTTCCAAATGCAAGTGCAAGCGCATCAATGAACGTTCAAGGAAATTTTCCCAACACAGTTAATCCTGATTATTTTCCAAATGCTGATCCAAATACAAGTGCATCAATGCAGCCTCAAGAAGATTTTTCCAACACAGTTCATCCTGATTTTTTTACAAATGAAATTGCGAATGCAGATCCAAATTTAGATTTTCCCAGCACAGTTCATCCTGGTTTTTTCTCAAATGAAAATGCGATTGCCTATCCAAATGCAGATTTTCCCAGCACAATCTATCCTGGTTTTTCTCCAAATGCAAACGCAAATTCAGACGCAGATCCAAATGCAAGGGCAGGTGCATCAAGCAGTGGAGCTGGACACGTTGGTGCTTGTTTTTACAACCCATTTTTTATGGGTAGAAGCTAATTTTAATTAATGACAACATTAGCAGACAATAATGGTTTTTGATTTTTTTGTCTGCACTTCTTGATGTTTTGAAGTTACATGTGATGTAACAATCTTTAGTTATATGTATTTAAAGAATAAATTAATGTTGTCACTTTGTTTTTAACCTGTGTACTCCAGTGCAATGTCTGAGATTAATTGTTCGATGATGATAGAAGTCAATTGATTTTTAATCATTTTATATTTTTATTTAAATATTTGTGGATTGTGATGTTTCTGATGTCAAGAAAGAATAAAAATTTGAAAACTCAGTCTTTTTTTCTTTTTTTATCAAAATTTGCTATCCATGAGATTCGATGGAATTTTTTTGAAATAAATGGTTTTGAATATATTTTAATGATGTAAAATGTAAGTGTGCGCGAATTATTTGTCTTACGATTGATTGAATACATATTCATTAATTACCTCTTGCGAGAAAGATTGATAAATTTCATCATAATTAATTAACTTTAATAAATATTTGTCTTGTTAAGATATAACATTCACTTAGATGCACATTTTAAGATAATGGTATCAGACTTCAGTATTTACAAGTATATAAACAAATACACGCAACGTGGCTGGAGTATTGGTAATGCCTTAAAAGGTGTGTAGATACACGTGTTGGGATGGTGATCTTGAACTTCAACATGTGCACAACGTGGCTATAGAGCCTTGATAACACATTAACGGCACACAATATTTAACACTTTTGCATGCTCACGTTGGTGGTGCATTAATATACACGAGTATTTAGCATTTTTGCATGTTTAAATTGCTTATATATTGATTAAAAAGGTCAATTCATTTAATCGTCATTGTTGAGATTGGACTCTTTGGATTAATTTCTTTAACCAATTGATAATACTAAACCTCCAAAAATGAAAAGTTAAAGATAAAATTGTTGAATGAATTATGTATTCCATTCTTGTACAAGCGCACTCAAGCATCAGCGACTTGCTTTTGTTGCTTTACTACCATATAACAAAATTTTAAAGAATTCAAATCCCGAAAAAACTGGCTACTTCTTCCTACAACGCATACCCCCTCGCCGGGCCCTCCAAAAGTAAAATCTGCTATAACTAATGAAGAAATGCAGTTCATAATCTGTTCATTCCCATACAATCTATACAGTGTTTATTTTAATATTTGCCAGTTGTATTATTTCACTCTCTTTAATTGATAGTAGTGAGGGGAACTCGGGAGTCTCTCGCAGTCTCCAAAATATTCTTTGCCTCTCCATTCCCTACTTGTTTCAGGGATTTTGCACCCCAAAATATCTTTAGCAATTCTTCAAAAGATGGGGCTCGGAGTTCTTCTATGGAAGCAGCGCTCGGAAGATTAAAGGATTTCTTTCTC